GGTAAACACGTTTAGATTGAATGGTAATTTATAATCAGTCACAAGAACATCGAATCTGAATCACTTGAAAAAAACACGGGGGTGCTTAACTTTTTTCCAGGTGTATATAATAAAACACCTTACCAATGTAATATCACGTAATCTAAAATCGAGTGGAAATTAATTTGCTGAAGGAAAAATGAGCACTTTTTCGACACAGTTACTCTCAAAATTATTTTCATTTAATAATCAGACACATCTTGTGCAATGTCCTAAATGACTGTAAAGAGACTTAAGAACCTTAGCTATTGAATAATGTTTTCGGTTCATGACTCCTGCACATACCATTACAAATTTTTTTATTAAAATCAGTATTATGTGAGTAAAAAGTTACAAGTTCAGTAATAAAAAACTTTACCTTTAAGCGATCAAGAACGGCACATCGAAAAGCAACCATTTCAGGGTAAGACTGTGCTAAGATTTTTACTTCAGTTACTTCCTCCACTTGGGTAAGAGATAGTTTCACTTTCTGACCAAAACATAATCCTTGTAAACACATTGCATCTTGGCTAGTATGTACGTACTTATCTCCAGTCAATAGCTTTAACAGTCCTGGCATTACTGTTTGAAAGTATCATTTGTTAAATAGAGTAGCTTCTACAAAATTAGTTTTAAAAAAATCTAATGAAATTCAACAACATACAGAAAAACAAGCCTCACTGGAATAATTCGAAATAAGTGATTTTAACTTGATATTAATATGCCAGTAAAATTAAATTCATGCCTGATGTGACATTTCAGGAATATTTTTTTTATATTATATACTGGAAAGATAAGTTATGATCAGTAACTCAGAAAACAAGTTTCATTGATTGCTTTTCAATAAATATCCATACGCCACATATTTTTTCTGTAAATTGCTATTAAAAACTGAGAAACATTAAACTAGCTCACTAATATAAATGCAACTACCTCAGATACAAATAAAACTTGTCTACTCTATCTGAAAGATAAACAACAATCAATTAAAATACATTAATATTTCACAAATCTTCAGCTAATGCCAAGTTGTAATTCCCAACCTACCTAGAAATATATGTAAAAATGACTGGTACCCAAAGGAGCTTAATTCTTTATGGGCTCACCCACAAACATCATTAACTTTTTATAAATGTTATTTTGATCATGCAAAAAAAAAACAAAGACCACAGTATTTGACCAATATCTTTATCTGGGAGATAATTTGAAATACTCGTCAAATCTAAATGAAAAAGTACAACTACTTATAGAACCATTTTATGATTTCTAATATGAACCTGCAACAAAATCATCATAAAAACAAAATTCAGTATCTAGGTTTCAAAAATACTAACTGTGATATCCAGGTCAATATACACCATGAACAACAAAATGTTACCATGTTTAAAGAATAATACCCAACCAGTTAAACTTCCATGTATATTTACTATGATTGCTCCACTGCCACATTTGCCTTGAAAAATATTACTGCTTTGAATACATCCAAGGACCTATAATCTGCCTGTACTATACTTTTATGAAGACTCAAGACTGGAATTTGGGGGAGGAATAAAAATATGCCATTGATTCTGACTTCTCTGCAGAATTGTTAAACTTTTTTTTTTTTTCGTTTTCATGAACTCACTTTTTAGCCGGTGTTTTTTCAACCACATATAATAGACAAGTACTGATATCATGCAGGGCTGTCATTATTACGTAAAGTAGAAGAACAACTGGGGATCCCTCCCCAACATGGGTCAAGGGGGCAGCACTTCTCATTGGTGGGTTCAGGGAAAAGTCCCCACTTAAATTTTAAACTATTTTTGGACAACTAAATCTTGTTTTTGGAGCTAAATCTTAAGCATTTTAAGATAGTTAAACTTTGTTTTGAGAGCATTATTAAAGTTTCAAAATGAAGCCATATGGTTCTTTTCTATATTTTCCATACATATAATACAAGAAATTATAACAAACTAATCTCATGAACTCAAATTCGATACGAGGAACCCACTTTGCTGTTATGTTAAACTTATATTAAAGTTTTTCTTCATTACCCATTCAAGCCGTCTCCAGCCATTATTAGTCTCAAAGTGGGTTCCTCGTCATCGAATTTGAATTCATCACGGCGATTAATCGAGGTTGTGCAAGTCTAAACGTTTATCTTTGTTATTCCATGTATAACCTTTTAAGTATGTTCTCTCACCAATCCACTACCATAAACCAATCATACCGTGAAAGTCTCCAAACTACGTAACCTGAATATAAAAATCATCAAAAAGAGAAACGATATTTCCTTCCTAAGACAGTGCCGCTCTGAAAAACTAATTCCTAAATTTGTGAAGGTCAAGTTATCGAAAAACTTAAACCAGTTTTCAGGCATTATCCAAAACATGCAGAAAAAACTCCTAAAAGCAACCCTGAATTCCAAATATCAAGAACTGGACTATTTACAAAAACTCAAACAGAAATTAGACCACCAACTGGCCTGCTACCTCAAACCAGATGATTACGGCAATATACAACGCGCTATCAACCAAGACAACTCATTGCTGAATCAAGAAAAGAAGTCTACACACAATAAGAAACTAGACAAACTAAGGAAACTACAACAACGTGAAGTGAAACACAACAATGCAGCTTGTACCTGATGATGACAAAACCTTGTCGAAACGTTGTACATTTGCTGTTATGTTAAACTTATATTAAAGTTAATCTAATGAATATTTGAGTAAAGTGTCCCAGAGGGGTGTGAGCCCATTACACCATCTCATTGAACAAGGCCTTCCCAAGAGTTAGACAAGATAGCAAATTTTAACAAAAGAGCAAGTTTGGCCTGATTTCTTAAATGAAATTTTAGATGCTCTATGCAAAATAGAATCTAATAAATGTGTACAATATTTTATTTAAAACAATTAGATCAGGGTTTACATACGCACACACCTTTTCTGCTGTTGCACAATGTCCATTCATTATAACAATGCATGTGGTCAGTTGTAAAAAAAACCTGCATTTTTTGAATTTCATTGGGATCTAGATATATATAACTTTTTTTCATGCTTGTTATGCTTGTATTCAAACATTCTAAAATTTTCTTTATAATTTCACACTTGTTAAATTGCAGATGCTTCAGAGATGAAATTTAAACAGCCAGTTCCTGAATTAAAAATGTAATGAAGTATTCTGTTTTTTTTTTGCAAGTAGCGAAAATCACTTTAAATCCTGTAAAGTCACCTTCAAACTTCTTTTTTGAAATTCAGCCCTCATATATACACTTTGATGCTATATATTAAAATACCTCACTAGATACTTGTACTATGGATCTTACAACTTTTCACACAAAGTGGTGCTATACATTAAAAATAATTTATGTAACTATGAGTTGGTGCCATATGTTAAAAATACTGTTATGACAGCGGAAGTCGCGCGACGCTTGGAGCATGCGCTGGAGTTCAAGAAAGACCATGACTGTTCCTCACAATTCTAGGCTTTTCTAGGCATGCTATGTTCTCGTATATAAGCCGGCAAATAAAGTGACGGCAAAGAGATAATTGCAGACAGAGAGATACAAAGACAGATAATCAAGTCAAACCGTAAGTAAAGTGCGTGAATTGTTGTGAATTCTAGCGTGTGTTTAAGTTAAAGTGGCTGTGGAAATTAAGTGTATTGCAAAGTTGTATTGAGAAAGAACAACCTAGTTTTATTTAAGAAAGAACTTGTATCACTGGAGTTTTTTGGAAAGAATTTCTACAGAAAATTAACAAACGACCAGAGACGTAACAAATTGGTGTAAGAAGTGGGATAAAAAACAATAATGGAAAAGAGAAGCGGCAAATCAAACTATAGCTTAGCAGATTTGATGGCAACAAAAGAAACAAGAAGAACGAGAAAATAAACAAGAAGAGAGACAACAGCAGTGGCAGCTCGAACAGCAAAATAAACAAGAGAGATTACAGCAGTTGTTGGAGGAAAAAGAAAAGAAACAAGAAGAGAAATTACAGCAGTTGTTGGAGAAAAAAGAAAAGAAACAAGAAGAGAAATTACAACAGTTGTTGGAGGAAAAAGAAAAGAGACAAGAAAGGAAACAAGAAGAAAGTCTCCAACAGTTGCAGGAAAGTCAGCAGCAACTACAGGAAGTCAACAACAGTGGCAAAAAGTACAAATGAAAAACATTAGTAAATTTCAAAGTGAATTAAATACATTAAAGGATCATTTAATATATTTTACACAAGGATGATATTGTTACGACAGTGGGGGTCACGTGACAAGTATTCTGGAAGATTCGCTAGTGTGTTACGACAGCGGGGTAACGTGACGAATATTCTAGAAGATTCGCTAGTGCGTTGCGACAGCGGGAGTCAATTGACGCTGGTAGCACGTGTTGAGTCTTAGAAGTTTCTAGAACAGGCAGTATTATCGTATATAAGTGCGCTAGACAGTAAGAGAGACAGACGGAGTCGAAGCAGTAGTGGAGACAGAGACGTAGGAGAGACGAAGCAGGAAAAACAGCGATATGGTCGGCAGGAACTGAGGATAGCAGACACAGAGATCGGAACTATAGTTTGCGGGGATGGACAATTAAGTCTAAGCACGATAGAAAGTGAGTAAACTGTTGTGAACTATAGTGTGTGTAACTGT